CACTCATTCCTCCTGAGCCATCCACAGAGGCTACACAACTACTCTAGATTGCTGGGAACAGGGGATAAGAATGCATTAGTACCTGCAGACAAGGCTACCCAGCAGAGCTTCCAAAGGCAGCCTCTTTGGTTTTGCTTTCCAGTGCTTAATCATGTGTACTATATTTACATGCCAAAGTTACTGATCGTGTGAAATATATTCCCTACAGCCAGCTACCTCACAGACTTCATCTTCCAACTGCAGCTATTTCTTCAACTGTTCACTCTAGAACACTGGCCAAAACCCCGACTAGATGTGTGAGGTCATTAAATAGCAAAATACTAATAAAAGCAAATACCCCGTTCCATACGGCACAAAGGGGACAATTTGTCCAGAGTTACTCTCCAAGTCTACTCTGCTGACTCCAAATGTAAAGTTACCACTATGCCATTTTTTCTAATCAAAGTTGTTGACATTTGTATGTCAGAAAAAAAGGTAAGCACGTGAAAATCTGAAGGTGGGCTTACTTTCAAGATCACAGACCTGTTCAGTAAGCACAAACACAAATAAATGTTCTACTGAAACAGTTTGCAAACTCAAGTGCTCTTTTCTTTATGATGGCTTGGATCTTCCTCATGCTAAGAACTTTAATTTTACTTCAAAGAGGAAATAAATCACAAGATTTTATTGAAATTACACTTATATTTAACCAGCTACAATTTCTAAAGCATTTGTTTAGCCTGATTCATCATATGCAGTAAAACTCCAAATGGTCTGTACACTGAAGTACTTCACAAAATGCAACAACACACAAAACCAGCTCCCCTTTCTCACCATCAACACAATGAAATCACCAAAATTTTACCTTTAATATTAATTTTTGTGTCTTTTATCTCCACATGGATTTTAATTTATCATGAATAATGAATTAAGCCACCAACATATCTTTACATTCATCTGTCTAGGTATTTCTAATATTTTTATCAGGAATATATGAACATATCACAGACATTTCATTATAAGGAAGTTAGCAATGCCACCACTGGCCTCAGAAATGCAGCAACTGAGGGAGTTAACTCACAGAAGGCTTTACCATGGGGCAAGACCCACTATAAAGCCACGCGAAGTCTGCTGCAAGACTCTCTGGCCTACTGTGACCATGTGGATGGAAAGCTGTGCTGCTACTTGCCAGAGCAGCTCACCCATGCACAACCCACTGTGTGCTGCGACATGCCTTCCAGCACAGGCTGGGGGAATTAGGGACAAGGAAGCACTTCAGTAGAAAAGAAAGAGAAGGTTTAGGTTCAGGGTTGAAGCTGGAATTTTTCACTGTCTATCCACCCACATAACTCAAATTCTTTTTTGCTTTGTTTCATGGCTAACTGAGATTTTTTTTACCACTACACCTAAAACACCAGGGTATATTCTCTTTCACACAATGAAAGTATCTAGGAAAGTCATCAGGTTGGCCAACCCTTTTGTAAGCAACACAGAAATTAAAGCTAAAAATTGAACCATCCACATCTATCTGAAAGTCTTGCCTCAAACCAGCAACTACTGACTCTACCTTTCATACTTACATGAGGTTAAATAATTCCTGGAACTAAACTACACACACTATGAGAAAGAGCAGGAAGTTTGCCACCACGGGCAAACCCTTCAGGACTCTCCCAACTCTACTCCATAGAGTGTAGAAGAAAAAGCATTGCTCAGGAAGCTTGTGTACTTCCATACACACACATCTGTGAGTTTAGTGCTATCAAGCTGCTTTTTTTTTTTTCCCCAGCTTCTTTCTGGTTATGAACAGTGAATTTTAATGGTCATAATTGATCAGGGTTTTCTTGCACTAAGATTCACATATTTCCAAGGCTTTTCACATTCCACTTTCATGTTTTAAGCAAAAAAAAAATAAAAAATCCATGTTTGATTAGTGATACCTGGAAGAAAATTCTCATTCATTTCTGAGATTTTACGCCCCACATTAATCGATCGTACTTACTGAAGTCCACTCTGTCCTGATCTGCCATTCGCTGCAGATCTTCAGCTGGCAAGTGCTGGTTGTCTCTGGTTTCTCCAGGTGATGACAGCGGTACTGCTGAACTGTCAGGGTACGATTGGCATACATCTGCCGGCATAAGATCTGTCGGTGCTGCATACCAAGGCCGCACGTTTTGCTGCACTCAGACCACTCCCCTATATCCCAGCTAAAGAGGGGGAAAAAAACCCAAAGGTCGCTTTTTTTTCCAGTAAAAATGCCTCTAATACTGATCTTAACAGAACTCGAATGCCATGATTCTGATGCTGGTACAGAATCTCATAAGAAAATAACACTTAAGCCTCTGCATGCAGAACAATCCTTTATGAAGGCAATGTTGTATACTTGCAACCAATCTACCTGTAGTGGTTGAAAATAATAAGCATGCAGATTGCATAATTTGTGGTTTCAAGACATATTGGAAATATTAAGTAAGCCACTAATAGCTGTTTGATTTTTTTAAAAGAATCTCTCTATTATATGTATTACTGTGCTAACGACACTTCCCAAAAATTTGTGTTGTGTAATTTTTTTCTGCAGCAAAGGGTCTAAAAAAGGATAATACCACAAAAATCATATAATGCATCTGGGCATTCATGATCAGTAAAACTGAAATAGCAAAATATAAGCAATAAATAAATATATTTAAGTTTAGATTTAAAAAAATCCCTAGACATATTCTTCTCATTCCAAGATTTCACTGTTTCTATTTAATCAATTGTGTATAAATGTGTCATTTTCTCTTTTCGGTTTTCATTTCAAGCACGGAGACATACACAGATAAGGGAAGTATCTGAACAGTTCACATATTTTATTTCAGATCTCTTCTGGAGATCAAGCGATATCTCTGTATTCTTTTTAATAAATATTTACATATCTTTGTTTATAGTCTTGATATTACCCTGTCTATACAGATGAAGCTGAATTAATATGACTTGTTAGAAAGAAAGAGGCGAGAAATATACTTGGTGAGAGAAGACATCTCCAAGTAAACGGCCTCAGAAGTTCCCAAGTATTCAATATGCACCAGGAAATTGCTTGTCAGGCATCTCTAACACGGTAACTGCACTTAGACCATTAGAAACTTCCCTGGGATAAGGGATAAGTTTTGCTGCTCAGAAGAGAACTAAAAAATGTAACCACAAGAGAGATTGAAAATACAGCTGCTGAGCTGATATAAAGTTGCTATAATGGCAGCTGGGTTTAACCCTTTGCTCTTGGTATACACCCTGAATGAATTGACCTTCTGGGGTTTTTTTGACCTATTTAAAAGAAGTTGCTCAGCCATAAGTCACAGTCTCATGAGAGCAAGTGTCTTCTCAGAAGGAAATCACACCTGAGCTGGTTGTATTATTGTGCTGAAAACAAGGACTGCCATTTCTGAATCCAGACTTCGAGCTGAAGAACTACTGAATTCCAGAAAAGAGAGGTGAAGTTTAGGAGGGGGCTGTAGTGAGCACTATCAGACTAATCCCATCGTTCAGAGTGACACCATGGAATGAACAGGTGGGTGCTACAGCACACTGATCCAATGTGGTGTGACATAAGCCACAGAGCCTCTTCTTTAGACAGCTACATGCAGAAGCCTTGTCATTTGAAAAAACATACCCATAGGGAGACCATGTGTAGTGTGTGTGCCTCAACAATCACACAGATTTGGAGAAACTACTAAACTCACTTGTTGCCAACTTCTCTTTTGCCTTCTCTGAATGCTACTGCTCCCTGTGAGGAGGAAGGCAGACACCAACAACTGAAGAAATGATAACCACTACACTTCATGACACAAGTGCAGAGCACTCAAAAGTTCAAACCAGTTTCCTGTGTAGCCTCTTTCACATGCAAAACCTCAATGACATTGGCTTATTTCACTTCACTTAAATTGTAGTATCTTACAAAGCTGGACATGGGAAGAGGTTGCAGGCCTCCTCTTCTGGAATGGGCTTGGTGCTGCTGTCACAGTAACTCTCAGATACCTCCTCGTGAGTGATTCTGTTGACACAGTGGAAAACTGGGTACTGTGACCCTGAAATGAAGAAGAAAATTAGGTGATGCATTGCAAAAGACTCTGCAGTAAAAGCCACAACAGTAGCATCCAACACTGATGCAGAAAGGAAAAGCATAACTTAACAACAGGAAATACAGACTAAGATTTTATGCAGAATTTCCAAATGTGAGCTGTGTGCTATACTGTTCACACTTCAGTATTAAGGAAGTCCTTAGTATATAGAAAGTACAGCATGGCATGGGAAGAAAGGCTGAGAAAACATGTTCCTTGGTCTGTATGACAACTTTATAGTGCAGAGAGTGCAAACATGAAGTATTCAGGCCATTTAAAAAAGATGCAGCCAAGTGGAAGTCACTCTGTTGCGCTTCTGGAAAGAGACTGAGCATCCCTACTTTAGAGTTTCATGGGGAGTAAACACATGAGAATATTATCCACTTTACCTTTTTCAAAAAGAAAAGATTCATAAGCTTACAGGTTAAACATTACTGTAGACTACAGACTCTCTGAAAATTACTATCTGTATTTAATGCTCTATCTTTAAATAAATTTCATGCTAGAGCAAAAAGCCATAAGTCCACTTCTATTACTACTGCAAACTGACTACCAAAATGGTAACAGAGAGCAAGGGGCTACCATGCCTGTGTGCATTTGGTAAGTGAGAAGTTGGAGTACATTAACAAGTTTCCACCCACAGGTGATCGAGAGGCCAACCAGGAAAGATGCTCTGCTACCCCTGATACGTAAAAACAAGGAAGAAAAAGTCAAGGATGTGAAAATCAGGGGCAGCTTTGGCTGCAGTGACCATGAAATGCCAGAGTTCAGGACTGTGAAAGAAGGGAGCATGGCAAAAGCAGAACCACAACCCTGAATTTCAGAAAAGCAGACCCAAACTACGTCAGAGAACTGCTTGGAAGAATCCCATGGGATAAAGCCCTAGAGAGAAGAGGAGTCCAGGAGAGTTAGTTGATATTCAGAGAACACCTCCTCCATGCTCAAGAAAGGTCTGTCTGGACAAGGAAATCAAGCAAGGGTGGCAGGAAACCTGCATAGGTAAGCAAGGAGCTCCCAACTAAACTTAGACATAGAAGAGATGTAAGCAGGCGTAGGTGATCCCGGAGGAGTACAGATACTGTCTGATCGTGCAGAGATGGTGTTAGGAGTGGCAAGGTCCATCTGGAGTTGAATCTGGCAAGATATGTGAAAGGCAACTCTAGAAGTGCATAAACAGCAAAAGAAAGACTAGCAAAATTTTTTTCTTTTTAAAAAGCATTACAGAAGTCTGATGATTCTCCCTCTGCCGTGATTAGACCATGTAGAGAGGCAGCAACCCCTCCTCTCAGTGTGGTACAGCAACGGCACAGGACACCTCCATGGTAATAGAAGTCATTTAGTTACAAGAGAAACAGGGCTCAGCCAAAGAGAAGTGCTCAAGGTACAACCCACAACTGCCAGTTCAACCACTCGACGCTACACCCACCGGCTTAAAAATGGGGTGACTGTAGTTGTTTTAGGCTATCCTACAAGTAACTCCGAATGACTCTTTATTGGTACTGCAGCTTTACTGGTGCAGATATTCAGAATGACACAGAGAAAGAAAGCATGAGCAGGAAAACGAGCTCTGAACTGAAAGAGGAATGTTTTGCTTAGGTTAGACCTAACCTTCTTCCACAGAATGAAATAAGCACAAGTGGGATATTTTTCAACCAGATCAGCAGATGCACAGTTTACACTTCTTCCCACAAACCTTTCCTGGAATGCTTTCCTTCTCAGATTTCATGTTTGTCATTTTGCCTCTGAAATGCACGGATGAATTATGACCATTCTGGATAAGACTGTATTTTTAAAGTAAAAATATACTGACTGACCTTGATATTAACAATATACTTCCAAATTGGGGGAAATACAGTGTACAACCTGCAGACAGTCATAAATGCCTAATTCTCAGTGTCTGCAATCAGAAACAGAATGAAATAAACCCCAAAACATGGGGGGGTTTAAACAAGCCCTTTTTCAACAGAACTCATATTGCTCACGCTGACACTGCACTTGTCTGAAACACCTAGGTTTACCCTGGAAAGCTGCCACTCCATCTCAAGAATGAACCCCGTACAACAGTGTCTCTAGACCAAGCATCAGAAAGATGACAGAGAAGTGGTTTTTTTCCATGTTACTGGCAAGATGGAAAGAAGCAGGGCACAGGTGATCAATACAATGGCTTCATCTTTCCACAAAACAGATTTCCTTCAATCAAAATCTATGTCTGCACATGTACAAAAAAACCTGCCATGCCTCTGAGTCAAAGGCAAAAAGAAGTCCCATCTTGCCTAGAAGGCCTAGGCAATTCGCACAGAAAACTCAGCTGCATCTTTGTTGGTATTTGTGGCTAAAAAAGCCTGTAGAAAAGGGCTAGGCTGTAACAGTTAAAGCTTACATACCTCAAATGTGCATTTACTAAAGGCTGCACTGTCAGTGACACTGGATCAATAACAACATCAACACTACAAGTCTCAGGTCACTGCACTGAAGATCAGTTTTCTCCAGCTTTCCATTTCTAATTGTCCACTTGAACTTGCAGTCTTTGTCTCAGATCTGTGGTTAATTAGCTCCATGTTTTTTACTTCCTAGAGGCTCGAAATCTCTACAGTTAGTAACTGCTAGAAGATGTTTTGAATTGTATTATCATATTTTGAAACTAAGAATTTGAACCTCTCATCCTGGGTTTACTGAAATCGATTTCCTCTGTCATGCAACCAGCAGGTAACTTAGACTTGTCTTCAAGAAACAGAAAGAAAAGAGACTAATAAATTAGCCATGTATTAAAATAAATATTGCACCAGAGATCTGTAGTAATTCTGAATTATGACTTTAAATAAAATAAGGGTGGCTGTATTTGATGGTAACTGCTGGCTGGCACACTTCAATTTCAGGATAGAAAATTTAAAATTACAATTCCCACTAAAGCTATATTTGTCCAAGAATTTAATTCTATCAAAAGTAATGCTTTCTATCTCACCAGCTAACGTACACTAATACTTCAGAAGAAGCTATTACATTTTCTGAACTCTAAGGAAAAAAACAGCCGTTTGCACTCTTGAGCCTCCTTTCTAATTCCTCTTTAAAAACGTAACAAAGATGCTCCCAGGACTGGTAACAAACTGCACATCCCAAGTAATTTCTGAGGTGTAGATAACAGCTCTAAGGCACAGGCTGTTCTCAGAGGTGGTGAAGTGAGGCAGTACTCCTGCAAGATCTTTCAGACAAAATTTGAACGAATTTCCTGTGGCTCCAGGAGTGGAGGCATTTGGTGCTCACCAGCCCTCTCTCAGAACAGAGAGGGATGATGTGCTACTTCACTTCCCTGAAAGGATGCAGTAGCAGTTTCCACACTGTCCAAATTCTAGCAGATCTATTGGCTCACTCATCTTAAATGGAACCCGGGACAAGAGCTGGTGGCAGTTCTCATAGGAAGCATTTTCCCTTTTTCAATAAATGATAATAGTCTTTTTTCCCCCCCCCCAAGCCAATGTTTCACCGAAAAGTGCCTTGAAATCTCACAGCTTTTCATCAAAACTGTCAATTTATCCTCCTTTTTTCCTTAGAAAGCACAACAGTACTTTTTTTTTTTCTTTCTTTCTTCTTCCAACTTAAAATTTCCTTCGGTTATTTAGCTTTGTCAGGTTCATTTGAAAAACAACAACAACAAAAAAAAAACCCAAAAAAAAAGAAAAAAAAAGAAAAAAAGAGACAGACAGACCATGCATCACCTACCTTTCTGCATCAATCTGAAGATTTAGAAAGGACGAAAACACGGAAAAAAGAAGAAAGTGTCCTATACTGAGCCATACAAAATGAAAACAAAGCCTTAGATAGTACAAGATTTTTCTGATTTTTCACTCCATTTTTTATCAGCCTGTATAACCTAGTTTGACCCTGATACCTTAGGGGCATCAGAGATTCACACAGGCTTTTCACACCAAGATCACAAGGAATGTTCATCCGCTCTCAACAGTGTCAGGATCCTGTTCTCAAGGTCCAGTTTCTCTTGAATTTAACTTGTTTAGAACACTCAAATGTTCTCCAAATAATGGGAAAAGAGATACTCATTTCTGAGAGTTCTCTTGCTAAATTTCATGGAGTAAATTTAAGCTGCATAGGAAGCTGAAGGATATTCTTTGAATTCTGTTCTCCTACAATTCTGCTATCATCATTTTGATTTCATTAATACCACTGCCACAAGCTATCAGATCTCTGAAGAAACAGTAAGAATTATGTTCAAATGCCCCTAAGGTCCATAGGAAATAGAACCAACACTTCTATGATGTAAAGGAAAGATACACTTATCTGATGTGTTCCTGCAACTGCATCATGAATTACCTGATTTCAATACTAAAATTCACCACATACATGATAACCCAGACACTCGCTGGTGATACTTGCTGATTGCTGCTAAACAACAACCTTGACAGCTATCAACATTGCTGGAAGGTTTTAGCTCTAGCTATCACATGGACACTTATCTGGCCTTGGACCAAATTCACAGTGTCCTCTCATCCTCTCAAACTAATTAGGGAGCGAATGTTCTCAATGTACATGAACCGGTGACAGGCAGCAGAGTCACTCCCTGGTATGTCTTTATTTCAAAGCCCTGTGATTTTTTAGGGATAGTGATGAGTGGCTATGCATAGTACAAAAGATTTCACTTTTACTATCACAAAAACTTAACTCTTGCAAATAATTGCTTGTGCTGTACATTAAGAAATCTGTGGTCACTGTGAATGTCTTACGGCAAAGATTAATCTGGCAAGCACAAAGCAGTGTATTCATCACATCCCAAAAGCTCAGTAATTACCAGCCCCTTTCCATCCCTCTTCCTTCCCACTTCTCCCATAGGAAAACCTCAGTTTTCTGAAGTCACATTATTGCTGTTCCAGCAACATCCTCTGTGGCAAAGATATGGCTGATGGAATCACTGTGAAACCTTCCCATAAAGAACAGAGAACTGTTGACAAAGCCACAAAAAGCACTGAGGGTCTATCCAACAAAGCTGGAGAGGCCAAATGGAAGGATAAAGAATGCCAAAGAATGTTGAGGAAAGCCACTGTGTATCAAGGGTGTGAGTGAGAGCAGCTTCCCATAAAATCCTGAAATATTTCCTTTCAGAGGCAAATGCCATATATTACCTTTTAATTTACATACTTGTTATTTCAGATTTTTAATTTTGCTGTTTCTACTGATTTAAATATAAGCACACATAATAGTGCTGAGGTGCTTTTTGTTTGTAAGATAACAAACCAACATGCCCAGCAATGCTTTGTGCATACAAGAGCTGCTGGAATAGTCACATTGCTTCTTCCCTCCCTGCTTCTCCTCTCCCACAGTGGAACCCTCCCGTGTGTCACCTTTTTCTGAGCACGGTGTATGAAGCACTTACCTTTCCCACATGTAGTAGTGCACTCAGTTTTTCCAACCTGTTTCCAGTTGTGTTCTCGGTTTTGTCTTGGTGGTTGAACAGCAGGCACCTGGTTTTCTGGCTGATGAGAAGGAAATCTTCCTGGCTGGATAACTGGAAAAGTTCCAGCTGCCTGTCCGGTGAGAGTGTCTGTCCCCCTATGCAAATCCTCATCCTCATGATTTGTACTTTCTGGCATTCCTAACTGACCATTCAAGGGCTCCCCTGATGATGGACAATAACAAAAGAAGTAAAATAATGAGCCTCACTTGCAGATATCAGGCGATGTTTTCATCCACTAATAATCACAACTGCAGCATCACTAAACTTGAAAGTAGCTTTAATCTGCTATGCAGAGACCTCCTAATAGTGCCCTGCAAAGGTTGTGTTGTTTTAAACTAAGATAACCACGTCTCAGCCAGCAAATACATTACAAATTGAAAAATATCCAAACATACTGTAGAGTTAGTGCACCCGGTGTCAAAATCTCCCAAGGCTTTTTTTTGTGTGTGCCATGCTCTGTATTCAGTGCCGCCCGGTGTCACAACACAGCTGCTCCTTGTTACAGACTGGAAACACGCTTGGACTTTTGCCAAGGCAAGTCACCAACATTAAAAGCAGGACCAAACTCGCTTGCAAACTTTCTACCGTGCTCCAGAACTTCACAGCAGTACGCACAGCACATATCCACAGCTCAGTCAGGAGCACGAGCTGCCCAGATTCTAACTTGGGAAGGCAACAGTTTTGTGTTTGATCCTCTCCAGTTGGGAGAGGAAAAAAAAATGTGAAGGGTTGTTTCAAATTATCTCAAACTCTGAAGAGAAAAATAATGTCCTAGTTAATTTCTGAGACATGGTTACAAGACTCCAGTTCATGCAAAGCCATGGTTAACATGTTAACAACAAAAATTGTTACTGAAAGAAGAAATATGTGACCAGATTCCTTGCTACAGAATAAATAACCCTCGCCAGTATCAATTCACCCAAGTTACAGAATCTATGCAGACTTCTCTTTCAGCACGTAGGGCCAAATTCTGGGTCTCTCCCACATCAATGGCAGCATTTACACAACTTTAACAGTATGAATGTCTCAATTAGCTTATTAAGTAACAAAATGCGTTTAATAATAGGCAAGAGTGGCATTTTACCTGGCCTCCTGTGAGCAAGCAACTGAGGACTAATGACATTGTCTCCTGGAATGATATACTCATAATGTATGCCTGGGTTAGGCTGCTGATGTATCATCTAAAAAGAAAAACAGCCATATATTCACTTCTTCCATCTGTTACAGTACTAATGCTTAAATTTGTGCTAGAGCTGATCAACTACGTAACGTTGTTTATCATTGCTCTGGATAGAAACAATGGTTAATGCCTGTCTCCAAAAAATGCAAAAGAAGAGGTATTTGTTTCTGGAAAAAATAAGAAAAAAAAGATTTCCATGTTTGCAAACTGAGTAGCTTGTGATGGCAGAGAAACTGTTTCTCTAAATCCACTTTGGAAATGGTAAAACTGACAGGCTGGGGGCCAAGGTGGGGCTGCGGGCTGCCCCTCAGCAGCAGCAGAGAAGATCCCAAGGTCACAAAAACATTCTCAGATAGAAGGAGCTTGACAGATGCCTGAGGAAACATAAGCAAGGAGGAAACAAAGCAGAGAAAAAGCAATACCACAGACCCCAGCCTACAAATGTAGCCAACTGCTCTTTTTAAGGTTTACCAGTTGTACTTGATCGGAGCACAGGCAGATGGCACATACGTGTTACTCAGTGCATACCACTGAATACCACAGAGCACCCGTGCAACCCTCCTGCATCCTTCCACGTTAATTTTCAAGTGAATGAAGACGCAACTGAAGTGTAGATAGACTCCCACTGTTTTACAGCTAGCCACGATGACTCTATCAAAGTGTTCTTTACGAAACACCGGCGGAACCATAAGCTTTTCTCCATTACATGTGAAAATGAGGCAGAGTGGTTTAAGAGCAGTGCACAAGCCCATGGGAGCTGACACGAGCACGCCTCTGAAAGTCAGTGTCACTTGGCGTGTGCTTGTTAAAGCAGTGAGACATAGTAAGACCTGAGCAAGATAAGACTTCATGAAAGCTTTTGAGCACTGTAAGCAGCACACTCCATACCCAGCTGGCTTGTATTACATGGCTGCTGCTGAGAGCCTGAGTATATGCTCACTGGGGATGCAGGGATGCCATCCGCTGCCGATTTCACCAGTTCAACTTTGATGACTTCAAAACCAAAACAAACCCAATCAAACGCCAGAGCTGGCACTAGCTCTTTGGTTCTGACAAACCACAGGGTGAAAAAAGTCACACTATGCCAATGGCTTTATGACCCAGCAGAGCACACTTACCCTTCAAGGTTTCACTGAATTCGTCACACCGATTAACACCAACGACGGATTCAGACCTTTGTTTTTCCTTGTGTCAAAATCACTTTTTCCTTGCCAAATATAAAAGCTGTTCCTCTAAACTGTGTCCCTCAGAGATCATTTACTTTTTCTGAACCATCTAATAATGCACTGCCTGTAATGTTTTTTGTAAGGGTTGGTCCTTCCCCTGTCACTCTGTTATCCAAAAAATACACCCTCTTTGTGTTTGCTCCTGAGAGAACTGAGCACTGTGAAGCCAACTTCAGTGGAGGCGTACCCCCCACTTCCAGGATCCTGTTCTTAAGGTCGTGCCAGGAACAGCTGCCCAATGGTTCCCATGGCTTCTCCATCACATTTCTCAAAACAACTGGCAGGCACATGTCACAAAGAGCTTAGCTGATGAGGTCCCTATGAATATATTGTCACAGCTTTCCTGCAGGAAAACACTTGGAACTGTACAATAGTTTCGCTTTGAGCCATGGACCTAAGTCTTTGTAGCAACGTATACTTCATGCTTGGACAAAACTTGCTGGGAGAGGACTTTTTACAAGGGCCTGTAGTGACAGGACAAGGGGTAATGGGTACAAATTGAAATCAGGGAGGTTTAGATTAGATATCAGGAAGAAATTCTTCACAGAGAGGGTGGTGAGGCACTGGCACAGGTTGCCCAGAGAAGCTGTGGATGCCCCATCCCTGGAAGTGTTCAAGGCCAGGCTGGATGAGGCTTGGAGCAACCTGGTCTAGTGCAAGGTGTCCCTGCCCATGGCAAGGGGGTTGGAACTAGATGATCTTTAAGGTCCCTTCCAACCCAAACCATTCTGTGATTCTATGATTCTATGATCTCTCTTTGTCTTGCCATTTATAACCTGCTGTAACTTAGAAAGCTTTTTCCTCTACATTTTTAGAGTGGAAGACAGACAGCATGATCTCAGGAAAATGGAATAGAAAGCCATTTGGAATTCCCCTCTGCAAATCTCTTTGTTTTTCTACACAGAGTATAAAAATCATGCCTATGGATGAAAAGAGAATTACATGATTCAGGAACTGCAAGACAAAGTCTGAAAAAATGACATCTGTATCTGCAGAGCTACAAATTTCAACCCCCTGAAAGAGGCTGTGTCATACTGATGATTGATTTTCTTTCATCTAGCACTATCCATTTTTATCTTCCCACACTATATTGAAAAAGACACTGAACTGTCAGCTTATAATGAATTGTAGTATTGCTCTTATCTACAAGAAACTTCTCAGATAAGAGTCCAGTCAAATTAGATGTGGAAATCCACAGCAGCAGCCACAGAGCTAAACTGATAAAGCTATGCCCATCATGCCAGCCTTCTTATGGTCATTGCAAAAGCAAAATAAGAAAAGATTAACCCTAAACTAAAACATTAAAATATGATAAATTTAAGCTTAAGATTTTATTATGGTTTTACTTTGGAAATGCCTGTTTAATCTCTCTGCTGATCCTTTTCTCTCTGGTCATTATGTACTAGGCATCAATCAGCTGACAATAAAAAGCTAAGACCAAACCTCAGCTCACAGCACTCTGTAACTACACAACAACATACATATTTTAAAAACTTTTAAAAATTTTGAAAATTTTAAAAAAAATTTGCAGAGTCTAGGAGCCCAAATATTTAACCTTCCAGACTTTTGCCAGTCTTACACTGCAATCAATGAGAAATTATGCAAAAAGAAGTAATGTTTGCATAGTTACTACACTGCTTTATTAAGACACCATATAGCAGATGGGGAATAACTTTGCCAACAGCTAGCTTTTCCCAGCTGAGTCATCTGGGAAGTTACCACCCATTTTTCTGTGAAATGACCCAGCACACTCACATTTCCACCCCATATTGCACTTAAGGGCAAAAAAGCTGGAGCTGGATGAACCAACCTCATCACCAACTAGTCTATTTTTTTCAGTGAATGGATTTTACCATGTGAAAGTGTACGATCTCAGAACATACCATTTATCTCTGAATAAGCTGTAATCAATTCCAGTTATATTTTTTATTTCAATATGATGCAATAAAAACCCAGTCCCATCTGAAATAAACAGCTTTTTCAATATGATGCCCCTTGCCCACCACCACCC